GGCTTTAGCATAGTCAATGAAGCAACAGTGAGAACTGGACACGGAACAACTGATTGGTTCAAAATTGAGAAAGGAGTTCGGCAAGGCTGTATACTGTCTCCCTGCCTATTTAACTTATATGCAGAGCACATCATGAGAAAGGCGGGGCTAGATGAATCACCAGTTGGAATTAAGATTGCTGGAAGAAATATCAACAACCTCAGATATGCAGATGATACCACTTTCATGGCAGAAATTGAAGAGGAACTAAAGAGCCCTTTCATGCAAGTGAAGAAGGAGAGTGCAAAAGTTGGCCTGAAACTCAACATTAAGAAAATTAAGATCATGGCATCCAGTCCTCTCACTTCCTGGCCAATAGATGGGGAAGAAATGGAGGTAGTGACAGATTTTATTTTCCTGGGCTCCAAGATCACCACAGATGGGGACTGCAGCCAAGAAATTTAAAGACGCTTGCTCCTGGGGAGGAAAGCTATGGCAAATCTAGACAGCATACTAAAAAGCAGAGACATCACCCTGCCAACAAAAGTGCGTATACTCAAGGCTATGGTTTTCCCAGTTGCAGTGTATGGCTGTGAAAGCTGGACCATAAGGAAGGCAGTTGTCACTGAGGCAGTTGGTGTGAGCTTGAGTGGACTCCAGGAGATGGTGGAGGACAGGAAGGCCTGGAGGAATGTTGTCCATGGGGTCGCGATGGGTCAGGCACGACTTCACGACTAACAAGAACAACGTTAAACTTCGCTGCATGTGGCATGGATTTAACAACAACAACAACAACAACTGCTAGAAAGATGTATGTTTTAAATGGAGGGTTTGGTTTTTCTTCAGAATGAAAACTAGCTTTTGTTTTAACATTACATTTGTTCTTGCTAAAATAAATGAGGTACCAAAGAATATTATTGTCACTTATTTGCCATTAAGAAGAATTTAAAGACAACCATACTTTCTAAGTGAGATTTATTGTAATTTCCAAATGATTCAGGTGAAGGATGTAGTAGTGCTGGAAAGACCAAATTTGCCTTAGTTGTTCATCTGTGTCCAGTGTCAGCGTGCTCCAATGGAATGAGCCTATGTGTGCATATCATTTTGGAATGGAAATTGAAGGAATAAATTTGAAAGGGAATGTACAGATGGAATGTGCAGATATAAATGGAATGTACATCTAGAATGAATTACCTGGAATGGGAAACGTGTTCTGGTATGCTTCTGAATGCACATTCATATTCATATTCTCCCATAAATTGTCACATGCTCATGAAACTTGTGGTTTCAGCTGGATCAGGGCCACAGATATTTCAAACTTCTGAATGCAGCACGTATGTCCTGAAGGGCATATCAAAGTTGATAGGGAAACCGGCACTGGAATAGCTTATGAAGCCAACAGTAGAGCTGTATACTTTGGGTTTAAAGGTCTTCTTAGAGAGAACTTTAGACACCCCTGTGTTATTTCCATTGTGAAGCACACAACAAACGTTTCTTTTGTCCATGCTACACAACCACTTCAACACTTCTGATATATTATAGCAATGGTAATAACAACAATGAAAAAAAATTAAAAGTGTGATCTTTGTTAATCTTTATTTTAAAAAAGGAACCTTCTAAGCTTGTGCAGTTTTATAAACTCAAATCAGTACCCTCACGATGCTGTGGAATGACATGAAACTTCCTTCTGTTGCCCTTATGCTTAACACATTAACTTGGAAACAAGAACAGTTTTGGTGTATGAAAAGACTAGTATATATTTTAAGGTAAAAATAATACAATTAATATCTAATTGGCTGCACCAAGGAAGGGACAAAGGAATGAAGGCAGGCAGGCATATACTAGAAGTAGTTGGAAAGAAGGGCACTTAAAAGTGACATTAAGAAAACTCTGCACTGTAATTCTATTCCTTTGAGACTTACCCATCCTTCCTTTCAGCAACAGTTCTGTTGGTGAGGAGGAAAAATAAGAACATACGAATATAAGAGCATCATGTGCTTTGGGTACAAATGTACACTAGCAATACACATGAGTACCCCAAAGGAGTTTGCATCTGGGCAAGCCAAGCCCAGTCTAAAGATAGTTCCAGATGTGCAGGGCTCCTGGTCCTGCCAGCAAAAAGGCCTTGTGCAATTATTCCAGCTTTTCTTTCTGAATTGACTTTTTGCATTGAGAGAAGCAGCAGGGGGCTTACAGGATGAAGATATTGTTGTCTTGACCTCTGAAACTGTGAGTGTGAGGCAGTGCAATGATACCAGAAAAGCCACATGCAAAAGCCTGGAGCTCCACAACATACTTAGAGCAAGGAGCCAAAAGCCAGAAATATGTTGGCTAACCAAGCTGTCATTGTATCCAAGAGCCAGCACAAGGACCAGGTTCAAGGGCTTATTTGTTTGTGTCAGTGAAGCATTTCCAACTGTTTGATTATGGTCTCTTTTAGGCATTCATGTCAATGTTCCAGATCCTTACACAGGAAGGATGGGTGGATGTCATGGATCAAACTCTTAATGCCGTAGGACATATGTGGGCACCTGTTGTCGCTATCTACTTCATCCTTTATCACCTTTTTGCTACCTTGGTAAGTTGCATGTCTCATATTTACCTTTATTTTTTAAAAAAAAATCAAGGAAAATGGAGGTTTTTCTTCTCTCCATTTCTCTCAGAGGAACATAAGAAGGTGCCTTATATCTGGGCAAGACCCCTTAGCAGGTGAAAAAAAACAGCTGATAGACAGTATTTAATCATTCATCTGCCTGCCAGTTCTTTCTTAGGTAGATTTAAATCGTTCATTTTTAACCCACCTGGACTGCAAAGCAGAGCCCAGTTATGGGACAGGGAAGTTACCAAGTACAGCATTTGCAGGGGAGATTTGCCAGGAACCAGCAAATCCCTGGTTCCCTTCCTCCCACTGATTCTTGTCTGTAAGTGCCACTCACCATCCACCAAGCATGGGACTGGGCGCAAGCATAACATCTCGCTGCTAGCATATCATCTTGCTTTGCCTCCTTCCAGAATACTGGATTTGAAATATACTGTAGGTACTTAAATGCAGCAGCTGGCTACACACAGAATGCTGCACATCTCCTCACTGAACAGATAGTCTTAGCAGCACTGATCACTTTTTGGGAGATAAGGAACAGTAATGGTGCATTCTGTTCCTCGCCAACAAACAAGTCATCTGAAAAGTACATTTAGTTTAACAATGGGAACAAGGCCACACACATACTCCTTCCTGCCCTCTGATGTAGGTGAAATTCTCTGGCTTACACCTTCTCTCCAGGTAAGAGCTGAAAGGGCTAGGAACAGAACCTCATAGCAAGATGGGTGCATCCACATTGTTCAGGGGACTTTCAAAAGAAATTTGCCTGTCCAACTCCCAAGCTGTTCTATCAGCAAGCCAAAATAGTTTTAACACCATTTCCCCCATTGGTTAATATCCATTAAAAAAATGTGGGTGCTAGTTTCAGTTTTATTATTTGGATGGTGGATTGCTTATTTGTTTTTTGATAGCCCGTGGAGTTTTATTGGCTGTTCTAAGTATCATTATTGCATTTTATTGCTGACACTTTGGGTACCCATTAGGCAAAGATTGCTACTGTGTTTGCCCCTTGAGACCTGGATGTAGCAATTCAGTGATGTAAATGATTCTGCGGGACTCTTTTGTAGATGGTAGTTTGCTTGTCTGTGTCTGTATTTTCCTTGGTACATTAGGAGAGCTATGTTAATTCTTGCAGAGATTCTGCTGTTTGGCCCTACATGAAATGGTGATCAGCTTTTGTGCTAGCACGACAAAATGATTTAAACAGACATGCCCCCTTTCTTATGCTAATATTGTAGTTGTTAACCAGCTGGGAACACAGTGAATCAGAAGTATACACTTTTCATCTTGAGAGAATCTACAATTCCATTGCACTCTTCCTGTAGCGGTAATTAAATGGAAGGCAAATGCATAATAAAGCTTTGGGGCACCAACTGATAATTAGAACTTAAAATGCTTTCTAGTTGCATGATATCCAAATGAGCACACAGGAAATGTCATTGCACTACTGCCTACATACTAACAGAAGAAAGAAACTAACAATTAATGCAACATGCAGATACATGTTCTAGTTTCTTTTTCTTTCTGCCCTTCCAACATTGTGCTTGGTGGACAAACAGAAATCTTTCCAAGATGTCACATACCTTTTTCACTTTTGCACTGCTATAAAATTGGCATAGCAATTTCTCAAGGTTCCTCAGGTGCTCAAGAAATCTTCACTGCCCCCCTCCAGTTTCTAGGATTAGGAAAAACCATGTGGTTCCACTGAAACCGAACTGAAGCAGTTTATAGAAGCCAGATAGTTTCTCCAGATCATTCTACAGTGAAGGGTTAGAACTTTTACCAAATCCTTCCTAATCCCAGGCCTTCTTTCCAAGATTCCTTCCAAGATTCTCCAAGAATTAGCTATATCCAATCCACTAAGGAACAGGCAGAAAAGCTCCTTCCTACTGGATGGGACGAACATTGGGATGAAGGAGATCTATACTGCAGCCTTGGCAACCACACCAACACTCTCCTCATCCCAATCCATCCCAAGTCCAATGATGGATTGTTCTTTTTCCTCTCTGAACTGCAAACTGCAGACTTACCTCTGGGATGCAGACTACATTTTCCATTCTTTTCCCATTTGGAATAAAATTCTCCTTTAAAATTGTAGGGGTACAACCATGCACGCATGCAGACACTACAAGCCTATACCAACTGAGATGAGATTCTCCAGTGCCCCAGTACATCTGAATCATTTCAGGAATTCAGGCAGTTTTGCCGTAAGGCCAAACTGGAAGCAGCTCTAACTGTATAGAATGATGGAGTGACAAGTGAATGAAAAAACATGAACATGTTGCAGTAAATTGTGACATGCAAAACTTAGAATGAGAAGGCAGGGTAAAATTTAGATGTGCTAATTGTATGTACTTGGAAACAGGGACTGGGGAAAGCTGGAATGAATCTCTTTCACAGCAGAAGCTGAAACACTGTTTAGGCTTGAAAAGCAAATACAGTGTTAGGAGAGAGGTTTGTTATTAAAATCCAGAAGGGAACAGAAGTTAAACAAAGAATAAGTTGAGGTTTAACTGTTCTTTCGTGATATTGTTCTAGATTATTATAAACTGTTGTAAACTGGCCAAACAGCTTCAGCTATTGAGCAGTACAGAAATGAAGTTTTCATGGCATGCTTGTCATTCTCAACTATATTGATTGGAAACAAAGAATGATTACACTCCAGTGCACTTTACATCTACTGCACAATACTTGAAAAAACCAGGCATGGCTTTTCATTATGATTGTAATTAGAATCACAGTCTAAAATGGGGCCTTTTTGCATTAAAATTATTTTTGCAGTCCCAAAAAGGTACATTTAGGGTCCATTTAAACATTATTTCAAATAGTTCTCTTTCCCTCACCACCATCTTTCAATGGAAAAGAAAACCTTACTTATTTGAAAAGTTTTGCAGAACTTCTGGCACACACCTATTTGGCACTACATTTGATATCCTTCTACATTTGATATCCTTGCCGAGACTGTTCCTATGGGGTAGTGGTCATTGATCTCAAGATAAGTCCTACCAGCAGTTCCAGGAGTACATTTTCTGCTTAATTTAATGTAATTTTAACTTGGGTGCAATCCTCTCTTGCTTACAGGGGTCACCATAGGGCTGAAGAGAACTCTGTCATTCCTCCATATCTTTAAGCACTTGCAGTTACCACAGCAGGGTAGTTTGATGAATGAGTGGTCTGCACATGCCACCCACGGCTCCATGCATCCTCCTCTGCCCACTTGATCATGTTATGCATGTTCCAGAGCTTTTGACCCTGGGAATATGAGAGAAATGACCGAAACTCCCACTCCACAATGGCTTGTTTTCCTCCTCTTCCCTTACATCCACCTAGTATCCCATTGTCCTTCAGAGCAGAAGCTACTTCTCCCTCCCCACTCCAATCACTACCACTTTTCATAGTTTCTGGAGTTAGGGCTATTTTTTTTTTCATTTTTTTCAGTCCAGAAAAGTGTGCAACTGAATTTTTTTTTGGGGGGGGGTCAGTCCTGCTCAAGAGTGCTCTTAAGCCTGTCTCATAGCTGTAGTCTTTCCTGGTCAATTTTCTTGTATGTTTCAGCTGTCAAAGCAGTGAAGAGGAGTGGGTAAAAAACTACAGAAACTGACAAGGTGAGACTGCATATATAGACTGCAGGTGCCAGGAACAATTACTCAGTTGTCCATTGAACAGCACCAATAAAGGAAGAAAAGCAGCAAAGGAATGGAAGTGAAGTAACTGCAGCAACAAGTGATACAAAAAGGAGATGCCAAAGTCAATATCTCCCTTTTCTGAAGGAGATACTTCTTTTAGGAAAGTGTCAGTTCAGCATTTAAAAGTGACAGAATCACAATTACAAGGGTGAAATATGTACCCCCTTTCATTTTGTGCATCAACTTATGCCACTTTCTGTCCTTTCTAGTGCTTTTCAATGGACTATTCAGGAAGTGCACCTTGGCAACTGTACACAAATTAACCCATATGGAGTCTTGCCTTGTCAGTTTCCATGTATGGGAGCTACTCTACTTCATTACTCCCTTTGACAACTGAAACATACGAGGCAATTGAGCAGGAAAGGAAGAATAAAAGGTAGCACAGAGTGCAAAAGGTCACTAGCATGGTTAACAAGTAGAGTTGAGGAAGCTATTAAAGAAAACAAGGATTCTCTCAAGAAGGAAAATATTGAAGGGGAACAAATGGAAGCAGAAACTTGCCCAAGGGAGAGGGAATCAGAAAAGAGAAGGAAATAAACATTCTGAGAAGCATGTTGCTAACAAAATCAAGGTCAACAATGAATAATTCTTCAGATATATCAGGAAAAAACAACAACAACAACCAGAGAGGCAGTTGAACCATAGGTCTGAAAGGAACACTGAAGGACAATAAGAAAAATGCAGAGAAATGAAATGAATTCTTTTCATCTGTCCTCAGAGCCGCTTATATGGAACAGGTGCCTATTTCTGAATTTACATTTTTAAGAAAGGGGTCTGAGGAATTAAGGCAGATAATAGTGACAAAAGATGAAATTTTCAATAATTCTCTTACTGACCGACTGAAAGTTAATAAATTACCAGGCCCTGATGGTATCCATCCTAGAGCTCTTATAGAGTTCAAATATGAAATTACTGGCCTTCTTACAAAAACAGAAATTATCAAAGTCCCTCAGTAAAGCAATCATAGAACAGGGGTAGTGGGGCTCTTATGGATCTGTAACCAGTTAAACAGAGTGAGGATAAATGGCAGATAGTCCCAATGGAGGGATGTAAACAGTGGAAACTCACAGAGTTCTGTATTAGGACCAATAATTTTCAATTTATTCATAAATTGTCTGCAGTTAGTGGTGGGGTAAGTAATGAAGTGGCCAGGTTTGTTGGCCAAATATCTAAGGTGGTTAAAACCAAATGGAATTGTGAGGAGATCCAAAGGGATCTTTCCAAGCTGTGATAATGGGCATCAACATGGCAAATGTAGTTCACTGTAAGCAAGCATAAAGTAATGCAAACTGGGGCAAAAAAATCCCAGCTTCAAGAATAGGTTGATAAGTTCTGAGCAAGCAGTGACTGATCGAGAAAGTGATCGTGGGGTTACAGTGGACAGTGTCAATCCAGTCAACCCAATGTATGGCTGCTACGAAAAAGGCAACTCTATGTTAGGCATAATTAGGAAAGGAATTAAAAATAAAACTCCCAAGATGAACTTGCCAAATACAAATGGCATGGAATATTACTGTATATGCAGCTTTGGTCACCATACCTGAAAAAGGACATTGTTGAGCTGGATGAAATACAGAGAGGGGGAATGAAAAGGAGGGCCTGGAGCAACTCCCCTATGAGGAGCAGCTACAATAACTGGGACTGTTTGGTTTAGAAAAAAGACATGTAAGGGGAAACACAATAGAGGTATTTAAAAGTATGGAAAGAAAGTGGAGAGGGAGACATTTTGCTCCTTCTCCCATAATACAAGAATTTAGGATCATCCCATGAAACTGGAGGAGGAGATTCATGGCAGATAAAAGCACATAGTTAAATTATGGAATTCACTGCCATGGGAAATTATGATGGCCACCAATTTGGATTGTCTTGAAAGGAGAATGGAGCAGATTCCTGGAGCAGAAGTTTATTGATGGCTACTAGTCTTGTTGGCTATCTGCTATCTGCCTAACCAGAAGTGGTACGCCTGCACGCATCAGTTGCTGAGGAGCTTGGGCAGGAAGATGTCTTGCCTCCATCCTGCTTCAGAGATCCTGTGGACACCTAGCTTGCTACTGTGTAAACAGAATGCTGGACTGGATGGACCATTGGTCTGAACCAGCATGGCTTTTCTTATGTTCTTATCTTCCTACATTTTTAAGAGCTCACTTCTACACATCCGAAAGACTGACAAGAAGAAGGAAGAAGTGGAAGGAACATGTTTGCAAATACTTCTGAGAGTATTATTAAAGAGGTGGTGGGCCAGTGACAGTAGCTCCAATGTGCTCCTTGGGCATCAATGGAGGAATGCCACTGGTGTCAGCAAGGGTAAGGTCATGAAGAGCAGCAGGTAGCTTTGCTGCCCTTTCCAGGCAGCTTGTTAACTAATCCCTGCAAACATGATATTGCTGCCCTGGTTTCATGTGATATGGCAAACTTTTGTGGATCAAACAACTGCTAACACCAGCCTTAGATTGTCATGGTAGTTTGTTGCCAAAAAATAAGCCACTCTGCAGGAAGCAGTCTGGATTGAACACTGCAACTCGTTATGCCTTGTTACCCACAATGTGTTGTTGTGTCTTGCAAACCCAGTTATGATTTAGGCTCTTTAGAAAAGTAAGTATGAAGCCAAATACTGCAAAATGCTACATATATAAAGTAAAAGTTCTCATTTATGCATGCAATTTATCAGGATGAAAGATAAAACGAAATCCACTCTGCCTACTGTCACTGTAAAACCATTTTTATTTGAATGGGAAGAAATATTAGCAGCATGCAACACTGGTGTTTTTGCTTGTTTTTTCAATTCTTTTGTAGATTCTGCTGAGTTTGTTTGTAGCAGTTATTTTGGACAACTTGGAACTTGATGAAGATCTAAAGAAACTTAAGCAAGTAAGCTTTTTCATGTTGGCTATTAATTGCAAGAAAGCAATAGTGTGTCCTCATTTCTCTACAAAAATGCAGATGCCAAACAACTTTTTAGAAAAGCAAACTAAATAAGATGTGTATAATGGAACATAAAATACCCAAATCAAGCTTTGAAGATCAGCAAAAAATTATTTCTTTCAGATTTTCCTGTGATTATGTGAGCCACTTGCTGCATGTGGGACTTACATTTTATTCTTTTACCATAATCCAAATCATATGGTAAGAGAGAGACAGTGAGCGAGAGAGAGCAAGAATGCACATATGAAACTGTGTATTATGTGAACTTGTAACCATTATGCTTCTTTTTAGCACACCATCAATGCAAAACACTACTGTATAGCAGGGTAGCATGCAGGCAAAATAAGTTATTGATATAATAGCAAAACTGAACCTGTTGCTCTTAGGGCACATCATGAGAAGGCTCAGTTCACTGGAGAAGAAAATAGTGCCAGGAGAAGTTGAAGGCAGAAGACAAAGAGATGTCTTGGCTCTATAAAGGAAGCAACAGCCTTGAGTTTGCAAGAGCTTAGCAGGACTGTCAAGGACAAGACATTTTGGAGGGCCTTCATTCATAAGGTCACCATAATTTGGAGACAGCACGTTAATAACAAATACTGCTTTACATGTAGACCTCCATTTTGATCAGTAGCAATGCACAAATGGCTCAGCAACGTGTCTGCAGAGCTACATACCCTATACTAAGGATTAAACTGTCCCTCTCTTATTCTTATTCTAGAAGATGGGATGTTGAACTTCTTTCAGTTCAAGGGAAAAATTCTGTTTCAAAGAAACTGTATTCTAGTGATGGGCTAAGCCCAAAACAAAAAAGGGATAGGGTTAAAGGCATAAGACATAGTGAAGGGTGGGATATGAGCGCTTTAAATAAAATAAATAAAAATGGGAACAGTCAAAAATATAAAAACTGTGATCATACTGTTGCTTAAATCTCTTACCATGTAATGCCTTTCAGCCTTTTGCAATGGGGGGAAGATGCAAAACCATAGAAACGGGGTGTGGAGCTGGGGGAAGGAAAATGGCTGTCTGGGACCCCACACAGGCTGAATTTGGCAAATAGGCCTCAAGTTCCACACTCCTAATGGAGGAAATTTATTTCATGTTAGTTCATGTCTGTTTGTTTATTTGCCACCAACAACCAGCAATAGCATATCCAGTTTATGCACAGATAGATTTTAAAATATGAACGGTTTTGACTTAAAACAGTTTCAGTCACAAATAAGAGTCTAATACCACTTATAAACTGAACCAGAACCCACTTAGAACAGCACACTCCTCAGAGGGGCAAACAAAGATTAACAAGATCATGGCTTGATTCTTCTCATCCTTTGCAATCAGTAACCACCACCTCCTTAATCTTTCTTCATTAGAGGCTCTGTTCAGTTCAGAGAGTTCAGAGTCCTTCACTAATGTTGCTTGCTTGTTTCTCCTTCATATGAAAGAGCAGTGAATAGCACATGGATCATTATACCGAATATCAAATGCCAAATGTTCCTCACATCTTTTTGGGAGAGGTCTTTCTATTTCACCAATGTAAAAGGAATTACCATCCAAACACTCAGTTTTCTAAGTAGCATTCCTCCTCAGCTTCTACTCCCAAGTCCAACATTTGGAGCCACACAGCAGAAATTTTGCAAGATGTTGTATCAGTGTTAATGGAGCAGTGCAAACAGTGTTAACCTTGATTTTGCATATCAAATATTTTCAATATTTTATATGAATATAAAATCCAATCAAATATTTTATACTGTCCTGCTAATATTTTTTAGCTGCTTTTTGCTAACATCTGTCTTCAAAGATGTTATTATTCGGCTGTCCATCTTTTTCCCCAGTACAATAATTGTAATCCACTCCAAAACTGAGTCTATTAAACTCCTTCCATTAGGTGCAGGCACAGGCATGTTGATAAATTCACCTTCTGTCCTTAGAAACAATTTATTGAAGAAAATAGCACCACTGAGCACAACCAGTTTTACATTTTATTATCCCTCTATTATACACAGGTTAAGAAACTATTAGAAAAGAACAGAAGGTTCCTAAATGATGCAGTACTGAGATCTGTTCTTCAGGGTGTGTGTGCCTACTCACACACTATGTTTCTCAAACATGTACAAAGTGCTCTTAAAAACTGCTTCTTCATATGTTTTCCCACAATGTAATTAACATTTAATTGGAAATTTCCATTAAAAGGCATGCTTAGAAAGATTTTTTTAAAAAATTTCCTTTGAAATATGTGATTGATCAGCTGATTAAACGACCCAGTGAGAAAAGGTTTTCCTTGAAGTAAGTATGATGGATTTTGTGGGTTTGCACTGATTGTACTTACTGTATGAACTATTTTCCTGAAATATTGGTTTTCTTATCATGGAAGATAAAGCAGAAGTGTGTGCCCATGTGAGTGTTAATTCAGTGACATTTTGGCTTCTCCATTATAATCTGTCCCTAAAAAGAAGGAAAATGATGTGGTGCAATTCTTTTTTAAGTCAGGCCCATTTACTGGCTTTTTGGCAATGGCTTTTGTATCATTTTAGGGGGAACTAGTGTTCCCCATCTGTAATTAAAAAGCTAAATGGAACTCCAGGAGATAGCTGGCTAATTTGCTGTGTGCTGATTCATCAGAAGTGCCTTGTGCATACCAATTCAACCTGCACCATCTTGTATGAAATTTTCCTTCTACTGTAGGAAATTTTCCTTTCCATTTTCCATCTTCTGCAGCCATAAAGATCAAGGCAAGAGGGGGCTTTCTTGGACAATTGACTGCCTGGAAGGAGTGCCTTTCAATCAGCTTATTCATGCCCTTCTTTATCGCTGCAGTGCTACAGTCGCTCTCTTAAGACTATGTCAAACAACACAGAATTAACCAGGTTTAAGTACTAGCTAATTTAAACATAAAAGCAGTCACCCTACTTGAAAGCACTTGCTGTATAAGAAACACAGTGGGTGCTTAATAGTCAGAGAAAATTGTTCCTGCAACATGTCAATAGTTTTTAGATTAAATATCAGTAACTACTTGCCAGACACACATCTTCCAGATACAGTTCTCTGTAGCCTCCATTTATGATGTGCAAGGCACTATGACTACAGTCACAAGCAACTATCCACTACAGCTATGGATAGTTCATGCACCACCCAGGGAGACTATTAGGTGCAATAAATAAATATAATACATTGCTGTTTCCTTGTAACGTTTCCTTGTAAGTCAAGCTAGTCAACATGACAGTGTGGAGGAGTGGTCTTGATGATGGACTGGCCTCAGGAAATCTGCCATGAAGCTCAGTGGATGACTCTGGGCCAATCACAGGCTCTCAGCCTCACAGGGTTGTTGTGAGGATAAAATGGAGAGGAGAAGGATCAGGGAGGAGGAGGAGGAGAAGGCAGGAGGGAAAGAAGATGAGGTACACATGTAGTAGTAGAAGAATGGGTCCATCTACTCCTGCATGCTGTGCACAGGTGCTTATGGGAAACCCGAAAGAACATGAATCCAACAGCAGCACGCTGCTTCCCATGTTCTCCAGCAAGTGTCGTGCGTAGTCATACTGCCTCAAACATCAGAGGCAGCATGTTCCATTCAGGATACATAGCCCTTGGTAGCTTCTTCTTCATGAATCTATCCAATCCGCTTTTAAATTAGTGGCTATCACTGCTTCTTGTGGCTGTAAATTCTGTAGCTTAACTGTGCACTTTATGAAGTGTGGGTGCCAGTCAGAAAATAGGTGTACACTTTGCCTTTCACTTGTCCCCAAATGCTTTTAAATAAAAATGTAGTGTGCCAATAAAGCAATGGTGTGCAACCTGCCACGAGACTGCATCCACCCCGGCTCCTTTACCGCAGCCCCTCCTGGGTGCGCCAGAGCTACTGCTTCCACGCTCTTCCCACCTCTGCCTTACTGCTCACTTGGTCCTCCAGAGTTCCTCATACAGATCCCTCTTTCCCAATGATGGCAGCATGAGAAAAGAACAGCCTGCATCAGGATTGTGTGCTCTCCCTCTCCCTCTCCCTCTGTGTACATGCATGTGTACAGGTATGCCTGTATATACCACCCCTGGCCCCTAAGACAGCATTACATGTGATTTGCAGGGTAGAGGGGAAGTCAAAAATGTTGTGTGTCCATACCAAAAATAGACAAACTTAGCAATAGCTCTGCTTTCATTTTCTGCAGGCAGCATTCCCCCTTTATTTATTTATTTCATTTATATTCTTCCATAAGAAGGTGAAAATGTGACATAGAAACACCTAAAATTAATACCTAAATAATTATGAATATGTTGCATTATCAGAAAAAGGAAAATAATATTTCCTAGCAATTCTCCGACCGCTGACATCAATGGAAAAATCCCTGCTGCTTTTATGTGTGCATGATGACAGACTCTGGAATTTATTCTGATTTTGTATTCCTTTAAGGATTTTGTGTTACCATATCTGATTGATTTTTAAGTCAGTTTTTAGGATCTCATTTCCTTCTTGCAAAAAACACATAAAAAGTTTCATTAAAATTAAAGGGGTTCAGCTGAAGCTTTACCAAGTGGAAGGAGAGAACACACCTGTTGCTAATGTTATAGTTGGCCTTATTTCAGCTGAACGTTTCCAGGGCTGGAAGAGAAATAGGAATAGAAAAGAATGTTCAGGATGACTAGCGTCAACTTTATGGAGACTGTGTATTCTTTAAAGGTCATGAAACTGGTTGAAAAGCTATTACATCTTGTACCTAAATTATGTCGGAGAGGAGCTGCTGTCTCTGAAAGGTAGAAGGGCTATCAAATGAAAAGAAAGGAACTGAAGCTGTAGACAAATCTTGAGGAAAAACCCTGTGTATTAAGCGAAAAGAAGACACCGAGCTGGCTTGTACAAGGTGACAACCCTCCTTATGTAAACAGCCATGCTGGGTTGTTGTGTTGCCCAAATCCAGCCCAAATTTCTGCAGGGTGGCTTATTCTTCACAAACAAGCTA